TGAATACCTACTAGAATTTCCTCTTGAATACCTACTGGAATTTCAACTTGAATACCTACTAGAATTTCCTCTTGAATACCTACTAGAATTTCCTCTTGAATACCTACTGGAATTTCAACTTGAATACCTACTATAGTTTCCTCTTGAATACCTACTATAGTTTCCTCTTGAATACTTACTAGAATTTCGTCGTGAATACTTACTAGAATTTCCTCTTGAATACCTACTGGAATTTCAACTTGAATACCTACTAGAATTTCCTCTTGAATACCTACTAGAATTTCCTCTTGAATACTTACTAGAATTTCCTCTTGAATACCTACTAGAATTTCCTCTTGAATACTTACTAGAATTTCCTCTTGAATACCTACTAGAATTTCCTCTTGAATACCTACTGGAATTTCAACTTGAATACCTACTAGAATTTCCTCTTGAATACCTACTAGAATTTCCTCTTGAATACCTACTGGAATTTCAACTTGAATACCTACTATAGTTTCCTCTTGAATATCTACTATAGTTTCCTCTTGAATACCTACTATAGTTTCCTCTTGAATACTTACTAGAATTTCCTCTTGAATACTTACTATAGTTTCCTCTTGAATACTTACTATAGTTTCCTCTTGAATACCTACTAGAATTTCCTCTTGAATACCTACTATAGTTTCCTCTTGAATACCTACTATAGTTTCCTCTTGAATACCTACTATAGTTTCCTCTTGAATACCTACTATAGTTTCCTCTTGAATACCTACTAGAATTTCCTCTTGAATACCTACTATAGTTTCCTCTTGAATACCTACTATAGTTTCCTCTTGAATACCTACTATAGTTTCCTCTTGAATACCTACTATAGTTTCCTCTTGAATACCTACTATAGTTTCCTCTTGAATACCTACTATAGTTTCCTCTTGAATACCTACTATAGTTTCCTCTTGAATACATACTATAGTTTCCTCTTGAATACTTACTAGAATTTCGTCGTGAATACCTACTAGAATATCCTCTCGAATACCTACTACAATTTTGTCCTTCGCGCTTTCGTCCATGAAAACACTTCACTTGTGAAACTGAATTCAACAGATCTTGTTAAAGGTACATCACTGACAACTGACCCCCCACAATTTTTTTAAATACTTTTTTTTTTCAAATAACAAGTTCGTCTGCTACTGGGAAAATATCGCGTGCATCATATGTAATCGAGTCTTTTGATTTGAAATCTGAAGTCAGATTTCGAATACATCGTCACGGTTATAAGTTTTTGCCACAATCATTTGAAAAATGAATTGGGTATTAATCAAACAAATTACAGAACTAGTATTTGCTTACATAACAGTGTGACGT